TATTAAGGAAATAATTAGTAGGCACATTGATGAACAAAACCTATTGAAGAAGACTCAGCATGGGTTCTGTAAGGGAAGATCTTGTCTCACTAACCTGTTAGTGTTCTTTGAGGGAGTGAACAAACATTTGGACAAAGGGGACCCAATAGATGTTGTTTACCTTGACTTCCAGAAAGCTTTTGATAAAGTTCCTCATCAAAGGCTCCTAAGTAAGCTCAATACTCACAGGATAAAAGGACAAGTCCTCTTGTGGATCAACAACTAATTAATAGGAAACAATGGGCAATTTTCTCAGTGGAGGTGGTAAGCAGTGGGGTATCACAGGGATCAGTACTCGGACCAATGCTTTTTAACTTGTTTATTAATGATTTGGAGTTGGGAGTAAGCAGTGAAGTGACTAAATTTGCAGATGACACAAAGTTGTTCAGGGTGGTGAGAACTAGGGAGAATTGTGAGGCACTCCAAAGGGATCTGTCAAGGATGGGCAAGTGGGCGTCAACGTGGCAAATGGGGTTCATTGTGGCCAAGTGCAAAGTGATGTACATTGGAGCCAAAAATCCTAAATATAAATAGACATTGATGGGGTCTGAACTGGCAGAGACTATCCAAGAGAGAGATCTTGGAATCATAGTAGATAACTCAATGAAAATGTCTAGACAGTGTGCAACTGCAATAAAAAAGGCCAACGCTATGCTGGGGATTATTAGGAAGGGAATTGAATACAAATCAGCCAGTATCATAATGCCCCTGTATAAATCAATGGTGCGACCTCAATTGGAGTACTGTGTACAGTTCTGGTCACCACACCTCAAAAAGGGTATGATAGCACTGGAAAAAGTGCAGAAAAGGGCAACTAGGATGATAAATGGGTTGGAACACTTTCCCTATGAAGAAAGGTTAAAACGCTTGGGGCTCTTTAGCTTGGAGAAACGACAGCTGAGGGGTGACATGATCGAGGTCTATAAGATTATGCATGGGATAGAGAAGGTAGAGAAAGAAGTACTTTTCTCCCTTTCTCACAATACAAGAACTCGTGGGCATTCAATGAAATTGCTGAGCAGTCGGGTTTGAACTGATAAAAGGAAGTCCTTCTTCACCCAAAGAGTGATTAACACATGGAATTCACTGCCACAGGAGGTGGTGGCAGCTACAAGCATGGACAGCTTCAAGAGGAAATTAGATAAACACAAGAAGGGGGACCCGCGATACTCGTTGGGGGGGGGGAGAAGCTCCACCGGAGAAAGAAGCAGCCACAGGTGAGCCTTCTCCCCTGACCCCCCCTGTCCCCGGCACCCACGGCGAGGCCCGCACCCCTCCAAGCTTCCCCCCTCCCCTAGCGGCAGCAGTGGTGGCGAGGCCTTGCTGGCCCACCGAACTTTCTCCCTCCCCCCTCAACAGCGGCGGTGGCAGCAAGCCCGCACTGGACCACTGAATTTTCTCCCTCCCCCTGTGGCGGTGAAGCCTCACCAGCCTGCCAATCTTTCTCCCTTCCTCCCTCCCCGGTCTGCCAAACTTTCTCCCCCCCCGGGTGGCGAGGGCTAAGCGGCTTACAGCCGCCGGCTGGCCAAGCATTCTCCCCCCACCCCTCCCGCTCTCTGGTGGCGGCGGCAGCGAAGCCCTGCTAAGAGCATTCCCTGTGCATGCGCAGGGGACGCGCTTTTACTTTTTTTGGGATTTAATTATCCCCCCTGTATTTTTTTTACAGTTTCTAGATTTTTCTGCACACCTGGGCATTGCCCCACATGCGCAGGAAAATCTCCCTGCCCCCCAGGTGCCCCCGATGTGCAGATTTAGATATACACACACAGGGGGCGCCTTGGGAATTAGGTATATAGATATGGAGCGGAGGTCCATCAGTGGCTATTAGCCACAAGGTATGAACTCTCAGTCTGGGGCAAGTGATACACTGTATTCTTGGTGCTGGGGGGGGTCAACAGTGGGAGGGCTTCTAGTGTCCTGGCCCCACTGCTGGATCTTCTGATGGCACCTGGTATTTTTGGCCACTGTGTGACAGAGTGTTGGACTGGATGGGCCATTGGCCTGATCCAACATTGGCTTCTCTTATGTTCTTATGATACATCTCTGGGAATGATGATACTGTTCTTGGTTGTTATATTCTACTTGTTAATGCTTACAGTTGATATTTGTTAGTTTAACTGAAAATTATTCCTCTACTTCCATGTTATTGCTTACAGCATGTACCTCATCGTTTGATATGTTTGTGCTATGTATGTATTGATGTTAGTTGTTGTTGTTGTTCAGTCGCACAGTCGAGTCCGACTCTTCGCGACCCCATGGACCAGATCACGCCAGGCCTTCCTGTCTTCCGCTGTCCTCTGAAGTTTGCTCAATTTCATGTTCGTTGCATCTATAACACTGTCTAACCATCTCATCCTTTGCCGTCCCTGTCTTCTTTGACCTTCAATCTTTCCCAGCATCAGGGTCTTCTCCAGTGAGTGCTCCCTTCTCATTTGGTGGCCAAAGTATTTGAGCTTCAGCTTCATCTCTACTTTTTATCATGCTGTTTAGGTTCGCCATCGCTTTCCTCCCAAGGAGCAGGCGTCTTTTAATTTCATGGCTGCTGTCACAGTCTGCGGTGATCTAGGATCCCAGGAACGTGAAGTCTGTCACTACTTCCACGACTTCCCCATCTATTTGCCAAGGAGTGATGGGGCCGGATGCCATGATCTTACGTTTTTTTGATGTTGAGCGTTAAGCCCACTTTTGCGCTCTCCTCTTTTACCCTGAGCAAGAGGCTCTTGAGGTCCTCTTCACTTTCTGCCATTAGAGTGGTATCATCTGCATATCTGAGGTTGTTGATCTTGATGTTTAGTTAAACTTCAATAAAGTGTTAATTTTTTTAAAAAATAGAAAAACTAACAAAACCCCCAAGCAAAACAAACATAAAGCCTATTAAAAGGCTGAAAAGGGGGTAGGCTCTGCCTGAGCCCCACAGATGCTCTGCTCACAGTCACTAGGACATTCTCCCTAAGAGGCTTTTCCCAGTCACTGTGACATTTCCCCTTTAAGTTGGAGCAAAGTTCAGATCCCTACTCTGCCATGAAGCTAGGCAAAAGTGGGCTGTTTGATACTCCCAGAGGATGTTAAGCCTCCCACTTGTAACTGTGATTCCCAGGACTGAGGCCAATAATAATTTATTTTGCAGCTAGCAGATCAACCTAATTCCATTTTGCAAAATTTCAAAATGCAAACAAACCTGTGTTTTTTTCATGCTTTGTTTCTGAGAAGCCATCTGTGCCATTAACTCAGATTCATGGCCTTCTGATTGATTTGCATCGGCTGCTCCACTTCCATGCTCCTGAAAAAACAAAGATATCTGCTGTTAAAAAAAACAGCACAAAAAGTCTCTGCTTAAACCAGACTATTTCAGTGGCTTCAGGATAAAGAGATGTGCTACACACTGCAGTTTTGGGAACAAGGTGCTGGTTCTTACCTTTAAAGCCCTATACGGCCAGGGTCCAGCATACCTGAGGGACCGCCTTTCCCCATATCTACCCCAGAGAGCACTATGGTCGGGGTCACAAAACAGACTGACCCTCCCGGGTCACAAAGAAGCCAGGCTTGCTATTACCAGGGCCAGGGCCTTTTCAGTGGCGGCTCCGTGCTGGTGGAATGAGCTCCCCGAAGAGATCAGGGCCCTGCAGGATCTTCTACAGTTCCCCAGGGCCTGCAAGATGGAGCTCTTCCACCAGGCCTTTAATTAGGAGCCGCCACCACATTAACAGCTTTAACTATGACCCTGGCCTTTGGTTCCCGACACCTAGCCTGTGCTGCCTGTGTTAGGAAGAACTTGAGCAGAATGATGGTGAGATCTGTGCACACTCTTAAGAAAGCCATCTTATAACAACTAACTAACTATTAGGCAGCACTTTATAAATCATGATTGTTTACTGTTGAATTGTTTTTAGATGATTTTATGTGATTTTAACTGTACCGTATTTATTACTGTAAGTCGCCCTGAGCCTGCTGTAAAGCGGGGAGGGCAGGGTATAAATTAGATAAATAAATAAATAAATAAAATAAACCTGTGCTTCAGTTCCTATGCTGTGTAGAAGACTTGAAGGACCATTGGCATCATCAAAATGCTTAGGACCACAGGGATACTCCTAGCCTAATTTGAAATCAGTAAAATTCTGAAACTCTTCCATTGTAGCTAAATGGTGTCAACTGTTCTCACCAAAGACAGGTTTTTCACACATATTTCAGGGCACTCCTCTTACACCATTAAGCTCATCCTGCAAACAACTGCTTGCAATGCACCACACATAGTCTGGCAATTGTTTAGAACTATGAGCATCCCTACCTTAAAAAAACATACTTGGGCACACTTTGCCTACCCAGACTTCACAATATTAAAGTCTGGGTTATCATAGGCTTTATTTTCTCCCAGCAAAAAGGGTATTTTTGCATGACATCACTATTTTACCAGATATGTCATACAATGTATCAATTTAAAGAATGTATATCCTGTTTGCTCTTAAAATGCCTGAGGCAGCTTGCAACAAAATACATAAGAATTTTTTAAAAAACCCTATTGTCCTATATGCTCATTATGAACAGTTCATACAACCAATCTCCTTGGACACTTTGCAATTAGCAGCAAAAACAGTGGATGGTCACACACACACATTGATCATATGAACTAACATTCATTTCCCCTTGTGTGCATCTGGACTCTGCTTTAGTGCTTAGATTGCCCAGCTATCGCCAGATAACATGAATTAATATGTCCAGAATAAGGGTGTGCATTTGGATCTACTCGAGCTGAAAATATACCTGAAAGTATATTTTGGATTCCCAAACATGACCGGGTTTTCTCAGGTAAACTTGAAGAAAAAAAAATCCCAAAATATCCTGGATATTTTGCTCCCGCCTCTCAGCTGTTTGTTGGGCTCTACTGCAGTCCCTTAAAGGATCAGCTGTGCCAGTGGGGAGCAGACTGTTCTCACCGCCTCGGCTTGGGGCTGGCTTCTCCTGCAGTCCAGTTCAAACCAGGCTACAGGAGAAGCCAGCCCAGCCAAAATTGGCTGAGCTCATGGGGAGCAGATTGCCCCCTGTGGGCTGGGATTTGCATTGGTGTTTTGTGTTTGGTGTAGTGGTTAAGTGCGTGGACTCTAATCTGGGAGAACCTGGTTTGATTCCCCACTCCTCCACTTGCACCTGGCTGGATGACCTTGGGCAAGCCGTAGTTCTGATAAGAGCTGTTCTTGAAAAAGAGCCGTTTCTGTCAGAGTTCTCTCAGCCCCACTTACCTCACAGGGTGTCTGTTGTGAGGAGGGGAAGGGAAAGGAGTTTGTAAGCCGCTCTGAGACACCTTTGGGTAGTGAAGGGCGGGGTATAAATCCAATCTCTTCTTCTTCTTCTTCCTACAGCCCTGTTTAAACTGGTGTAAACTGGGCTGCAGGAGAAGTCTGCTTCTTGCAGCACAACAGATCCTGGCGCTGGCTTCTCCTTCAGCTCGGTTTAAACCAGGCTGCAGGACAAGCCCAGCCAGTCCCAGGATCAGGCGGGCTTTTTTTTTAACTGGTATTTTTCTTTTCAGTTCTATTGGACCCAAAAGAATTTGGGGTTTCCAAAAAAATCCAGGATCTGAATACCTTACTGGTACCAGGATAAACAGGTTGCTTACCTGTAACTTATGATTTTCAAGTGGTCATCTGTGCATTCACACCTCTGAAATATAGTGTGTCTGCATCAACCCCAATTGGTATAATTGAAAGCAAAAGGGATTTTCACTCCCGCTCCCTAGTCACGTGCAGGGCTCCAGTGGGCATGACTAGGGGGAGGGGCACGACTATCCTGCCAGTTCCTTCTGACCACTGCCATCAGTCTCAGAGCAAAGAAGAAGAAAAAAGGGACCAACAGCAGAGAGGAAGGAGGGCGGGTGGTGTGAATGCACAGATGACCACTCGAAGATCATCAGTTACAGGTAAGCAATCTGTTTATCTTCTTTGTGGTCTCTGTGCATCACACCTCTGGGAGAGTAACAAGCAAAAAGACACCTACCTGGAGAAGAGAGCTGGAAGGTCCCTAGACACACATCAACTGCAACACAGACCGTCCCACTGCAGTTCGCTGATGAAGACGCACATCCAGGGCATAATGCCTCATAAACCTGTGAGGGGTGGCCCAGGTCACTGCATTGCAGATGTCATGGAGTGGCGTGCCCTTCAGGAAGGCTGTGGACGTGGCCATGGCTCGGGTGTGCATGAAGCAGTCCTGGGAGCGGCTTCTCGGCCAGCAGGTAGCAAAGCTTGATCATCTCCACAATCCACTTGGACAGATGTTGTGATGAAAGTTTGCGCCCAAGCGCAGGTACAGCATAGGAGACAAAAAGGGCTGGAGACTTCCGAAACCCCTTAGTCCTGTCTAGGTAAAAGAGCAGGGCCCTCTTTACATCTAGGGTGTGGAGGCGACATTCAGTATCATCCTTCGGAGTTAGGAAAAACACTGGAAGAATGATGTCTGCATGCAAGTGAAACTCTTGAGACTACCTTGGGCAGGAACGACACATCAGGAGCCAAGGAAACACCGTCTTGGTGGAACGTCAGGTAGAGGGGATCACAGTGAAAGGCCGACAGTTTGCTCACTCTCCTAGTGGACATAATTGGTGACCAGGAAAGCCATTTTACAGGAAAGAAGCTGCAAGCTGCACATGGCCATAGGTTCGAATGGCTTCCTAGAAAGCTTGGCCAACACCAGTGGTAAGTCCCAGGTCGGTGTGGGGTGGCGGGATGAAGGAAAGGGACAGATGAGCCCTTTAAGAAACTGCTTGGTAAATGGGTGGGTAAACACCGAGTAACCTTCAATTGGGGGATGGTGAGCAGATACAGCTGGCAGATATACACGTAGTGAAGTGTGGCTGAGACCCAGGTTCAGATGGGACAGCAGGAAGCCGAAAATAGCAACCAGGTCTGGAGGAGGAGGTAGCCCAACCAAATCAAGGTAGGACAAAAATGTATTCCATCTTCCATTGTAGGGTCTACGAGTGGAATGCTTGCGACAGTTCAGCAACACATGGTCTATCCTGTGCCTGAGTGTTGTCACAGGATTCTCCACGCCGCGAGTTTGAGATGTGGTACATCGTGGTACAGTACCAGACCCCCTTGGGCAAGGAGAAGATCTGGTGCTGCCTGGGAGTGAAGATCTGGTGCTGCCTGGGAGTGAAGAAAGGATAGGTGAAGCAGAATGGGAAACCAGTGCTGTCGAGGCCACCATGGGGCCACGAGGATGCATCTTGGAGCCTCCCTCATGATCTTGTGGATCACTCTGCTGAGTAGGGGGATCAGGGGGAAGACAAACAGGTGTCTCCTTGGCTCCTGACCATGGGTAGTGGAGACAGTCTCCTAGAGAGAGACAATCCATTCCCTTTCTGGAACGGAACAGGCTGCATTTCCTGTTTTGTCTTGTTGCAAAGACATAGACCGCTGGTTGTCCCCACCTACCAAACACCAGCTGAAGATATTTCCAGTTGAGTTCCCATTCATATAATGACGCTCCCTCCCTGCTCAGGAAGTCTGCAGTCACAGTACCAACAGAGCCACCTTCTGTTGTTACAGGCGTCTGTTTAGGGCGCTTGTCCGTCGGTATTGATGGCTGGGGCAGCAGGTATTCTGGTGTCGGAGCAGGCTTTTGATACTGAGACAGTCAAGAAGACATGGATTGTCGGTCCCAATCTGTCAGCATACAGGGTGGAAGCCCAGGCATGCTGGCCAACAATGGGTACGCCCCATAAAGGTAATGCCATTGGCATTGGACCCAGGGGAGGAAGAGGTAGTCCTGAGGGTCAGTCCTGGTCATTGATGGATGAAGTGAGAGTTGTGGGAAAATATGAATTCCCCGGCCCGAGTAATGACTCTTGGCACTGGAGGGTCAGAAGACTTGAGTCAAGTCCATGTCCTGCTCAGAGTCAGTGAGCTGTATCAAATAACCTGTCTGAACTCTCTGTGAACATCTAAGGTGTGCCAGGTCCTCTCTCTCGGGTGTTTTGGATCTGGACAGAAGGAAGGCAGATAGTGAGCTGTATCAAATAACTTGTCTGAACTCTCTGTGAACATCTAAGGTGTGCCAGGTCCTCTCTCTCGGGTGTTTTGGATCTGGACAGAAGGAAGGCAGATACAATTCCTGGGATCTGTGAAATTTTGAGGCCACTTTCAGAATGAATGTGGGATCTGTGCAAAGAACTACTAGGTCTTTATGGAAAATGCACAGACCTGGACCCACCGATAGTGCCCCAATCTCTGATATACGTCTAGCAGACGTGACTGCTACTAGGAAAACTGTTTTCATACACAGCCACTTTAAGGAAATGTCCTGTATAGGTTCAAATGGAGCCTTGGTAAGTGCAGTAAGGACGGTATGAAGTTTCCAAGTAGGGAACCTATGCACCACCGGAGGACTACGCAATGTGGCTCCTCTCAAAACTCTGTGTATGTGAGGATGTGACGATAAGGAACCTCTTTTGAAACGAGGCAGGACTGAGCTCAAGGCGGTGACTTGTTTCCGAATAGTTGTTGGTTTCAGGCCTGACACAAGACCATCATTCAGGAACTCTAGAACGGAATACTAAGGTGGATGTGTGACTTTCACAGACTTCCGTCTGCACCATCTGTGGAAGGCCTTCCAGGTAGTATTATAAATTCTGATTGTAGAGTCCTTTCTGGACACCAAGATAGTATTTGTCACCTCTGTGGAATAGCTGAGCTTCAAGTAAGAAGACTGTTCAAGCTCCATACAGTCAGCATTAGCCGATCTGGCTCCAGGTGCCAGACTGGTCCCTGGATGAACATGTCTGGAGATACCGGGATTCGTAGTGGGGGAGACTCGGATAGTTGTTGTAGAGTTGAAAACCACAGGTGACGAGGCCACCATGGAGCTACCAGAAGGACTGTGGCCTTCTGCTGTCTTATTTTTCTTAGAACCTTCGGCAAGATGGGAATGGGAGGGAAGGCATACAACAGTCCCCTGGGCCATTGCGTGGTCAGAGCGTCCGTGGCCTCCGCTCTGCTGTGTTGGAACCTTGAGAAGAACCTGGGTAGTTGATTGTTCATACTCGAGGCAAACAGGTCCACTGTTGGAGTCTCGAAATGTTGTAGTATCCAGTCGAATGTTTTCTTGCTCAGCATCCACTCTCCTGGGTCTATCGTTTGTCTGCTGAGCCAATCCGCCTTGATGTTGTCCAGACCCTTGATATGCTCGGCTCTGAGTGATGCAAGGTTCTTCTCCGCCCAAGTTAGAAGTATCAGTGCTTCCTTGTGGAGAGCTGATGATCTGGATCCCCCTTGATTTTTCAGATAAGATTTTGCTGACACATTATCTGCCCGAAACAATATATGTTGCTTCCGAACTCTTGTCTCCGAAGTGAAGGAGGGCTCTGAGTTCTAGGATGTTGATGGATAAGAGAGATTCCCTGTGAGACCAGCAACCCTGAATTGGGCTCTCATTCAGGGTTGCTCCCCAACCTTGAAGACTGGCATCCGTAAGGAGTTGTAACACGTCTTTGTGAAAAAATTTCTTCCCTTGATGCAGATTGGATTCCTTTGTCCACCAACAAAGAGACTGCCTTAGGGACATGGGCACTTGAAGTGAGATGTCTTTCTTCTCCATTATATGAAATTGATATGGGCGGAGAAAGATCTGTAGAGCCCTGGTATGAAGTCTGCCCCACTGGATAGCATCTAAATTGGATATCAGGAGTCCCATAACCTTGGCTAAGGTCATGAGTGATGAGGCTGTATGTTCTATGATTAGTCTCACTGCTTGCTTCGTCTTTAAGATCTTCCATTCTGGTAAGTATAGAGTGGTAAGTTTGGTGTCGATGATCATCCCCAGGTGCTCCAATCTCTGAACCGGGCCCATGGAACTTTTGGCATGGTTGATTAGGAAACCGTGTGATTGCAGACAGTGTATTGTTTCTTGGACGTCTTGAATGGCTTTCTCCCTGGAAGGGGACCTGATGAGAAGATCGTCCACATAAGGATGTACATGAATACCTTTCTTCCTGAGATGAGCTATTGGGTTGACTAGTACCTTCGTGAACACCCTTGGGGCTGTTGCGAGGCCGAAGGGCATGGCCCTGAATCGCATATGCAGACGTCCCACACAGAATCTCAGGAACCTTCTGTGTAATAGTAGAATGGGTACGTGAAGGTACGCTTCTGTAAGATCCAATGAGGCTAGGTACTCTCCTGGCTGTAGAACCTCTGTGATGGCTTTGAGAGTCTCCATGTGAAAATGTCTCAATTTGATAAATTTGTTTATAAATTTCAGATCTAGAATGGCTCTCCATTCGCCATTCTTTTTGGGCATCGTAAAGAAAATTGAGTGAACTCCCTGGCCTCTTAGTTCGGCAGGTACCGGTTCTACAGTCTGGATGTCCAGAAGATGTTGCAAGGCAGCAAATGTTATTGCCCATTTCTGAGGATGTTTGCGTAGTGGGGAGATGACCAATCTTTCAAGAGGAGGCCAGAGAAATTCTAAGGAGTAGCCTTTGGAGACTATTTATAAGGTCCAGGAGTCTGCTTGGGACTCCCGCCATGCCTCTTGGAAATGTATCAGTCGTCCTCCCACTGGAATCTGTGTTGAGTCATGTCTTGATGTTTTTTGCATCACGGTCCTGTTTGTCAGATCTGTTGAATGTTTGTCTTCCGAAACGTGGACCTTGGAAGTTTCTCTTGAATGGTTGAGCTGTGTGTCCCCAGGAACCTCTTTTCTCTCCTGGTCTAGGCTTGAAGGTTGGGTTGGAGGAACGAAAGGAACGACCACGAGCATTTTTCTTGTCCAAGTTACGTAGGTTCTTTGGCATAGCCTTCTTTTTATCTCTTGTTTCCACCAATATCTTGTCCAGGTGGTCACCAAAGAGTTTCTCCCCTTGGAAGGGGTAGGCCATTACAAACTATTTGGATTGCAGGTCTGCAGGCCAAGCGCATATCCAGATCCCTCTTCGTGCCACTACCGCAGAGGAAATGGCTCTTGAACAGAAGGTGAGTGCATCTAATGAAGCATCCGTGGCAAAGGCTGACATTTTCAATATCCTCGTCACTCCTTCCAGTAAATGCCTATTGTCCCCTGGAAGAAGCTGGATCAGTTTTCTCACCCAAACAATAATAGCCCTGTTGGCAATTGAGGCTGTAGAAGAGGCTTCGATGGCCATTGTTATGGCCTCGTGAGATCTCTTAAGAGCAATGTCTATCTTTTTGTCCAGGTTGTCCCGCACTGAACCGTAACCATCTTCTGAGAGGTGACCAAAGGACTGGAGTGCCACTATTGGAGCATCCACCAATGGAACCTGTAACATCTTGTTTGCAAAAGATGGTAAATCATACAATTTCTTAACAAACCCTGGGGCTTGCCTGTTAGCAATAGACTTGGCCCACTCAGCTTTCAGTTGCCTCTCAAAAAATTCTGGAAAAGGAAACACTTTCTCTGATGGAGCGTATCTGGGAAAAAGCTCCTCAGTGCCCTTGGTTCTATTTCTAGGATTAATGCCAGGATATACCATCTCTTGAACTGAAAAATACCGGGAAAAAATAATTGCACACCCCTAGTCCAGAATAAGCGTTAATTTACGCGAAGAGAAGCATCTATAAAACTACCATAAAGGCAGATGTTTTCCATACATACAAAGGCATTGTGGGATATTTTCAATTCACCTCTTTCACTGTGTCTTTCTCAGAAGCAGTTCCATCCAGTTCTACAGCAGTGTCACTCTGCAGGTTCTTTTCTCCTGCCTCACCACATGTTTCATGTTCCATTCTCACAGCTGCATCAGGTAACTGTTCATCCTGGTCATGATTATTGTCATCATCCTCTTCCTGGAACAAACAACAGAAAGACATCATTAGTATTGTAAAAGATTAGGAATGTGACAGAGAAGACGACAAAGCTGGTTTTGTTGCACAAGATCGATATTATGTATGAAACATCAAGGAATTACCATCACTACTCAGTTACTGGAACTTACCCTCCAAGTATTTTCCAAATTAAAATAAAAAGAAACATGTACATTTTACATATGCCCCCTTAGTGACAAAAGATGTCACATAAAGATACAATTCCTTCTATACAATAAGAGAAAAAAAATGAAACCTGAGGATAAAGGCCATGTTCACTAGTGGGAATGCCAGTCTCTTTCTGCTCTTCCTCCTCTTTTTGGTCCTCTGCTGTGCCATCATCTTCTTCGCCTGTATTTTCATTAGGATGGTCTGCATTTTCTTTTTCATTTGTTTCTTCCTCCATTTTATCATCTCCTTCTGCTTTATCTTCAAAGGAATCTTCCATTTGCTCAGGATCTTCACCATGTTTACCCATATCTTCAGTTTCCTCTTCCTTTACCTGCTTTTCATCTACATCCATTATCTTATCTTCTGTCTCAAAAGGATTTTCTCCTAAACAAAACACACAATTTTCAGAAAAGTGAATAAGAAGGATTTAAAATTCCTAGATCATGTGGAAGAAATATAACTAGGTCTGTTGTACTTTTAAAATGTGGCTGTCTCTTGGGTGTCATATAAATTATCAGTACCTAAATGAACATAAGAACATAAGAGAAGCCATGTTGGGTCAGGCCAATGGCCCATCCAGCCCAACACTCTGTGCCACATAGTAGCCAAAAACTAAGTGTCATCAGGGGGTCCACCAGTGGGGCAAGACTCTAGAAGCCCTCACACTGTTGCCCCCCAAGCACCAAGCATCACTGCCCCAAACAGAGTGTTCCATTAATACCTTATGGTTAATAGCCACTGATGGACCTCTGCTCCATATGTTTATTCAATCCCCTCTTGGAAGCTGTCTATGCATGTAGCTGCCACTATTTCCTGCAGCAGTGAATTCCATGTGTTAATTACTCTGTGTGAAGAAGTACTTTTATCTGTTCTAAGCCTACTGCTCATTAATTTCATTGAGTGCATACGACATCTCCTCCCCCTTAATAGCTTTTTTATTATTATTGTTATTTTAAATTAAAATAGGGATATAGAAAAACAAGGGGAAAAGGAGGGACATAGATAGAATAATCTGTAACTTATTCATAACAAGAAAGATCAACATCAGAGTAAATATAGAGCATTTAACATAAACATTTAAAATACATAGTATTAGGAAGGTTTTTACATACTGTATACATTTATTATTAAAGTCTATTACCATTAGTTACTATTAACTGTTAGACATTGATTATTACATTATAAACAACATCTAAAGGTAAAGGTTCCCTTGCTCGAAAGCCAGTCAAATCCGACTCTAGGGTTGCGGTGTTCATCTCCGTTTCAAAGCTGAAGAGCCAGCGCTGTCCGAAGACGTTTCTGTGGTCATGTGGCTGGCATGACTAAACACCAAGGCGCACGGAACGCTGTTACCTTCCCACCGAAGTGGTACCTATTTATCTACTTGCAATTTCTTGCTTTCTAACTGCTAGGTTGGCAGGAGCTGGAACTAGGGACGGGAGCTCACTCCGTCATGCGGCACCCGGGTCTCGAACTGCTGAACTACTGACCTTCCACAGCCTGCAGTTCAGCGTCTTAACCACTTGAGCCACCGCAGCTCCTACAACATCTACTGGGTCACTTTTGTCCACATGTTTGTTCACCCCCTCAAAGAACTCTTAAAAGATTAGTGAGACAAGATCTTCCCTTACAAAATCCATGCTGATTCTTCCTCAATAGCTTTTGTTCATCAATGTACCAACTAATTCTATAACAACAGATTCCACCAACTTACCCAGTGGTTTTGAGTGGGCAAGCACCTCCCATCTTCCGCAGTGAAGACAGAGGCAAAAATGTATTCAGCTTCTCTCCCATTTCCCTATCATCTTTTAGTAATCCTTTTACCCCTTGGTCATCCAAGGGCTCCACTGACTCCCTGGCTGGTTTTCTGCTTCTAATGTATTTGGAGAAAATTTTATTGTTGGTCTTTATGTTTTTTGCAATATGTTCCTCATAGTCCCTTTTTGCCTGTATCATCACCAATTGCATTTTATTTGGTAAAGCCTGTGGTCCCTTTTATCTACCTCACTCTGACTAGCCTTCCAAAGGAATCCTTTGTACCCTTTACTGCTTCCATTACTTTGTTTGATAACCATGCAGGCCCTATTCATACCTTTCCTAACCTGTGACATACATTTTATCTGAGCTTCTAGGATTGTAGTTTTAACTAGTCTCCAAGCTTCCCAAAGGGATTCCACCCTCCTTAATTTTCCTTTCAGTTTCTTCTTCACAAACCCTCATTTGAGAGTAGTTACCCCTTCTAAAGTTAAATATGGCTGTGTTGGTCTTTTGGGGCAATTCCCTATTTACATAAATGCTAAACTTAATAGCATTATGGTCCTTGTTCCTAACTAGTGCTATCATGTTTACATCGCTCACCAGGTCTTGAGCATTACTTAGGACCAAGTTCAGGATCATCTCCCCCTGGTAGGTTCTCTGACCATCTGCTCTGTGACACAGTCACTGTGAGTATCCAGAAATCCAATCTCTTTTTCCTGCGTTAAACACCTATTGACCCAATCAATGTGCAGGTAGTTAGAATCACCTATGATGACACAGTTATTTCGTCTAGCTGCTTTCCTTAATTCTTTTGCTGTTTTGAATTCATCCTCTAACCTTTGATCTGGTGGGCAAAGACAAATTCCCATAGTTAAGTGCAGAAATACAGTGCTGGTGTGTTTCTTTAGTGACTGAATCCCTGTCTGATATAATTTCTACAATTCACCCATTATGTTGGAAGAGTGTTATGCAGTACTAAATACCAAAAAATACAAAGCATACATACATCTCTACATGTTCAGGGACAAATGGTGACTATGTATTAGAAAGCTGTGATTAGCTCATGCCTTTCTGGCACATGTCCCTCTTTCACACTTTTCAGTGGCAAACACAAGAATGTAGTAGCCATAAGGGTCCCTGAATGATCCATGAGACTCTCTTCCCAGCTGTGTTCCTCTGCCTATAATAGGAGTGCATAAGAAGCAGGCATTTGTGGCATACCAAAGGATCTAGGAGAAAGGTAACCACTGCCTACAGGCTTCCTACAGTACTACAAGCTACTTTGTATTGTGATGTCACCAAGCCCAAATGGGAGTAATTCAAAGTGTTTATCTGTTTTTTGTTTTGTAGTTAGGTTAAAAATGGACCAGAATAGTTTGCCTTCAGGGGTAACTAAATCACCACTAAGAACAAGATTCATGAACTCCATGCTGCTACTTATATGGTGCTTTGCTGTAACAGAATCCAGCCATATTTGTCGTACTTGGATCTCAAATGATCTTCTTACCCCATTGTGCAACATCACAGGCCTAATTTACATATGCAGCAAATGATGGAATTCCATGATGGAAAAAAGACAGGCTAAATATGGAATAAATAAAATAAAATAAGGATTGTATCAAGTAAATACAACCAGTTACAACTTAATACAGATATTTAGAAGCTAGGTAGTTGAAACAAACAAAAATCCTTCGTCAACTCTGGAAGGCATGTAAATCCAATTTAAAAATGACAACCTCTATGTGGAAGATTTTCTGTGCAACAGCCCACATGGTGAGCGTAATGTTTAACCCAATAGGGTTCAAGGTCTGCACACCAGCACCAGATTCTACAAGGGATACCTTGTAATACCACAAATGCTCTACATATGACTGGGCTAGTACACAGAGGCCACAGGGAAACACGTCTTGGTGGCTTCCTCATGGGGCTGTAATGCCTTGACAAGGCCAGAGAAAAGGTATTCCACAGGTAAAGGGCCAGCACCCAGAATACCTCTCTGTGGGTCCTTGCAGCTATAACCTGATATGTGAATGGCCAAACTTAGACAACGTTCTCAGATAACCTTAAAAGACTGTGAAAGGACAAAAATAGGAGAGGTTGTGGTTCCTCAGGGTATCTGGGCCTAGGTTGCTTAGGGTTTTTTAGGTCATAATCAAGACCTTGAGAATTTAGCTTTGAAGGCAATAGCAAAGCCTCCAAAATAGTAGACCCCTGCTGAGATATGATCCTGATGAGACATAACCATCTCAGAAGGCACTGCAAACATTAACAGCAGCTTCATAGGCAGCTTTGTTTGCACTACTGTGGTCTAACCTTGAAATTAAGATGAAAATTATGCTTTCTAAGACCAAATCTAACCTCCTTACCACATGGAGTTGGTTGAAAGCCCCCTTGCTGCAAACACACATAAATGCACAAACAATCAATTGAAGCATGAATGACCAGAAGAAAATGAGCTTTAATGACCCCAATCCTGCTCCCTTCAGCCCTTCAGCCTTCCCATGCTATGTGTGTGACTTTGACCTTCTCTGATTTACTCTGCATCCAGGTCCCAACTACAACCAGACCCTGGAAAAAGTACTGAGATGTATTACTTTTTATTCTTAATTACATCTGCTGCTAAAGAAAACACTGTGCTAGCTATACCTTCTTCTTCCTTGTCCTCCTCATCCTTCTCTCCATTCTCCAAGTTCAGATCATCAGGAAGATCTAATGCTTCAGCTTCAGGCTGCTTCTCTTGCTTTCCATGATAAGGATCACTCTCATTTTCATCATATTCACGCTGTGAAGTAAAAATGAATCACACGCTATGAAGGGAGCAGAGATGGAATGAAATGGGTGAAGCAAATTTGCACCAAGCAAAACCAGAAGAAGTCTGAGGCCATACAGCTGTAGTTGAGTCTACAGTTAATTTGTATGCATTGTACCAGGAAAATGGCCATTATGCAACACTACTGCCTTTATAAGCAACCTTGCTGTGAAACCTCCCTTATTACCTCATCTACTTGTTCATGGATTTTCTCTTTGATTTCCCCATCATTCGCTTCCTTAGCTTTTTCTTCATTCTTGGGTGGTTTCTCATCATCTTTATTGCCAGCATCTAAGTTGTCATCTTTTGCGACAAGCTCTGAATCCCTCTACATGGTTGAAGAAAAATATCCATGAAGCCATTTGACTGCAGAATGATGTTAGTGTTATCTTATCTAGTCACCTTGATGTTACAGTAAAGGCAGCTCCATAGTCAACTCATAGAAAACACTGCTTCTGTGTAAAGTATAGAACTGCACTAATAGCATGCACACTGGGGGATAAATGCTGGTAACTTTGAAAGTACTTCTGGTAAATATTACAAACGTAATTCTACATTCTGACTGTCTGAACACACTGAGACCTGCAGAATGAATGCTCCATCTTTCAAGACTAGAGAAGGTGGCGGTACATGGTTTAGCATTTGGCTTCTAGGAATATTTGGAGTATTTCCCACATATATTAATTACATAAAATTGCTACACAGAGAGATACACAAGTTACAAAGCATGCAACATGTTTCCCTACCTCCCCGGAAAAACTCGACTCTAAGATCACGGTGAGCATAATAAGGTGTATCCTCTATAAATATTAATAAAGCTGGGTTCCCTAAGAAAGGAGTCTGCTAACCAAAGAAGCAAACGAAAAAGGAGCTTACAGCCCGCTTTACAAAAATAGGCAAGGAGAATATACCTTGTGCTTTCTGGTGAATCTAAAATACAGACAGTTAAAATGGTTGCTAATAACAAGTGTCAGCATCTTAAGTGTAAGAAAATGGAAAGACTTTGATAAATTTCAGTTGTCTGGGATTCATGCGTTCCCTTTTTCATTAAGGGGCTTGCATTTCATGTATTACAATTAAAAACTGGCTGAATACTTTCTTCTCAGAGCACACATTCATTTTTGTTTTTACCTCATCTATCCCTGGACCAGTTTCTGTTATACTGTCCTCACTGTTGCTCTCATCTTCCTCGTCCTCATCATCTCCCCAAAGCCTTTCATCCAGTTTATCTGCTTCAGCATCTCCAAGGTTTCCCATCTGTTTATCTAGTTCATCATCTTCATCAGATTTTTCATCCTCTTCTATGAAAAATAATACAACTCAATGTATAAGGCACACATGGACTAACTCAAAGCTCCACAGTCCCTTCAGTGAATATTTACAACTCCCCAAAAGCAAGGGCTTTACCATTCCCTGTAACATGCTGGGAAAGGGCGGAACAAAAACAATGCTCGAGATCTTGGAGAACAGGTGTGAGTCAGAATAGGAAACATTGGCTAGAATGATGGACAGATGTTCTGATGGTGTAAGGCAACGGTGTGTGCTCATATGAACCCCCCCAAACCCACCATTATTGTAAGTGGCACAACCCTTTCTCACAAAGAAGAATCAGAGAAGTCAGAAACATCCTGATTAATATTTATTCAAACACATAACTCCAAAAACCCCCAGTAAGGTACATTTAATTGCAGCCCAAAGTACAGTCCTTGATCAGAAGCCACTGTTAGCCGCACCAATTTCTAATGCCCCTTCTCCATTCACACAGAGGGTCTACCACCCCTTATAACCTCTCTGTCTTAGGTTCAGAGTTACAATGCTGACTGGCTCAAACACTGTCCCATTCACACACTGCCACCATATATAGACTGAGATCTTCACTGGTGTGTGTGTGTTTCTTTTCCTAAGACACACAGCCCACAGAATTAACCAAGGAGTTGAATTTTATTTATGGTTTAAACATAACACTGAAGAAAGTAAGGTAGATGTTACAACATTTCTTTTCCCTTGAACTTTTGAACTGTTTCCCTATTCCACCATTTGAGATCTCTTCTTACAAACTGACTTTTCTACTTTTCTTTCCATTTAGCTTTATGCTACTCTTGGCCTCAGCTTCACTCAGTCAGACATACTCTTTACCCTCTCACTACCTAGCTGCCAACCCCCAACTGCTGTTTTCTGTCTCTCACAAACATTTCATCAGCTCTCACTGGTCACTCTTAGGGAGAGATGGAACCTAACATCGTTGTCAACTATTAAATTACTATTTGTGAAAGAACATAATTGCAAACAGCATGATGCTATACTCAGTTTTACTAGATATTGGTTAAGAAATAAAGAACAAGCCATTTTTAGAAAAAATCAATGCATTTCACAATGTCAGAAATCATAATTTTAGTTTGTACAAATATTTGTAGTTCCACCTCATAGCAATGTTTGCAAACACAAGTGGAATCATCAGCATTTCCAGTAATTTGTTCCCAATCAATCCGAAGTACTTTCATTAGATGAAAAGGCAATAATTAATACACTTTATTCAATTGAAAGCAAAAAGATGACTAGACTTCAGGAATATATTCAAAACTCTAAGTATCACTATTTATTTAATTGATTAAATTTTTAGGCTGCCCTTCCCTATGAGCAGGGCTCAGGGCAGCTTAGGAAGAAGAAGAAGAGATTGGATTTATATCCCGCCCTTCACTTGGGAGTCTCAGAGCGGTTTACAAACTCCTTTCCCTTCCCCTCCCCACAACAGACACCCTGTGAGGTGGGTGGGGCTGAGAGAACTCTGACACAAACTGCTCTTTCAGAAACAGCTGTGCCAGAGCTTGTGACTGACCCAAGGTCACATCAGCAGGTGCAAGTGGAGGAGTGGGGAATCAAACCCGGTTCTCCCAGATTAGAGTCCGCACACTTAACCACTACACCAAACTGGCTTACAAAAGGAAGGAACATACAATAAATAACTAAAAGTTAAAAACCTACAGTAAAGTATATAATGCATATATCAGCAAAATTCAATTCATTCCAAGATGGTGAGAAAATGTCAGATTTCACAAGCCTGCTTGGGGGAGGGGACTTGTGGAGAATGGAGGGTATGACAGTTCCAGACCACATGCTGTTCCGTCGCTGTCTTCAACTGAATGCCTGGTGGAACATCTCTGCCTTACATACCCCATGGAAATGTAACAAATCCTGCAGGGCACAGATGTTCTCTGGCAAAGAGTTCCACCAGGTGGGGGCGAGGGTCAAAAAGCCCTGGCCCTGGTTGAGGACAGCTGGATCTCTCTTGGGCGGGGGCCACCAGGAGGTTCTTCCTTCCCAAGCATAACACTCTTCTTTTGGCATACTGAGAGAGGCGGTCCTGAAGGTATGTGTGTCACTGACTGCTAAGGGTGGTCATACATACATTGGTTTGTATTGGCTGAGAGCGGGAATCCCCTTTCCCCCCTTACATTACACGATACAAACCTTGCTTTTCTTGATCCCCATCATATGTTTTTCCTTCAAAATCTTCTGACATTTCAATTGCATTGTCCTCTCCTTCAATATCCGGTTTAGATTCTGGGTCTTCATTGTTCTTCTCTTGACCCTTCTGGGAAGTGTCTTCTACCTGGATTATTAGATCAAGTTATTCTTGCTCTTTAAATAACATTAATTTATTTTTATTAACTTGGAAAAGCTGCTTAAATACTTATTCAAAAACTAACTTCAAATGGCTGGATCCAACAAAGAATCTTTCTCTAAAAAAAAGCAGCCCTTGCCCAGTAGAAAGGAACCACGGGTTCTAACCAATTTCCCTCTAAGCTGTGGAGACTTGTGAGCAAAAATTCTACTTGGTGAGCGACTGGCATTAAAGTTGTGAGCGAGCGATATGGCTACTGCATAAATTAGGTTGCTCCGGAGCCATCCTTCCTGAGCGAAGACAAGAATGTCTGAGCCAGAGGCTAAAAATCTGTGAGCTAGCTCACTCTCACTCAGCTAGCGGGAACACTGGTTCTAACCCATTGTTTTCTTAATCAAAATGGCATAATAATTGGTTTTTATGTCCTAAAATGAGTCCTAAAGCTCATTATGCTTTTTTTAGATTATCAGCAGCCTGATTTTTTCCCTGGCAAAGAAAGTTGCTGCAAAACCCCATTAAACTACCATATAAAAAGAAAAACAGGTTGCTTATCTGTAACTGATGATCTTCAAGTGGTCCTCTGTGCAGTACCACACATGGGTTGGGCACCTGTGCATGACCTCACCGGAGAAACTTCCAGAGCTTGCCTCAGAATCTTGTGGGTGGGCTCTCTTCCTGCTCTGGGAAGCAGGCACGCACTGCACATGCCTGGAGCGGGGGGGAGGGGGGAGCCGCCTCCCACTCAGTTCCCTCGACTGGTACCGGTAAGTTTCAAAGAAAATAAGGTAAGTGATTGAGAGATGCCAGCTGCGGGGAAGGTTGGGTGGAATTGTGGTACTGCACAGAGGACCATTCAAAGATAATCAGTTACAGGTAAGCAACCTGTTTATCTTCGTCGTGGTCTCTGTGCAGTCCCACACGAGTGACTACAGAGCTGAACCAGATGGAGGAGGGAGCTGGCAGCTGAAAGAAACCAAAAAAACAGGTAAGAACATGTAATTACAATTTCAATATTCAGAACTGAGAACTGAGCAGACTCAGGCGAAGAGAGATCGAAGCACCGCCTGGCCGAAAGCAGCATCCCATTAAGCCCGAATGTCCAGTGCATAATGGGACACAAAGGTCGATGATGAAGACCATGTGGCAGCTGCACAGACGTCCTCCAGTGGGATACCAGCCAGGAAAGCTGTCAATGTCGACACCGCTCTGGTGGAGTGAGCAGTAACACAGGTAGGTACGGGCTGCTTTGCGAGCTTGTAACAAAGGGCGATGTGGAGCCCTGTGAGCAAAAATTCTACTTTGTGAGCTACTGGCAATAAAGTTGTGAGCGAGTAATTTGGCTGCTGCATAAATTAGTTTGCTCTGGACTGCCATCCTTCCTGAGTGAAGACAAGAATGTGTGAGCTGGAGGCTAAAAAACAGTGAGCTATCTCACACTAACTCAGCTTAGAGGGAACAGTGGCGATGGTCGATGTGACCCACTTCAATAGCCTTTGGGAAGAAATATAATGCCCATTGTGCGATGTGCCATAGGCAATAAAAAGTAATTCCGATTTTCAGAAGGACTTAGTATGATGGAGATAAAAAGAGAGAGTCTGCCACATATCTAGTACGTGCAGTGCTCTCTGAGGCACATCAGAAGGGTTTTGGGGAAAAAACGGAATGGTAGAGGATTTCAAAAAATGAAAGGCAGAGGCAATCTTAGGGAGGAAAGCTGGGTTCGGCCATACCCAGAACATGGCGGCCCTCTAGATGTTTGCTTAGACTTAGTAGGCCCAAGTGAATCGCCCGGAGCTCTAGGAAGTTGATACTCTCTCTGGACTCCTGTCTGGACCACTCCCTTTGAGTCATCAGGCCCCCTGATTGAGCTCCCCAACCCGACAGGCTCACGTCCATTGTCATAACTACCCTTGGTGGGTCGCGGAGGAGTGTCCCGTGTTCGAATCTGTGAGCTCTTGTCCACCAGGACAGTTCTTGGCGCACTTTCGTCAGGAGTCTCAACATTTTGAATCTCCGTCGAGCTATTGCTCTCTGATAGGGGAGCAGGAACCTCTGAAGAGGCCTTGCGTGGAAGCGAGCCCACTGTATGATCTCCTGGCAAGAGACCAGCATTCCCAGGAGTGTGACCATTAGTTCTGACTTGTTCTCCCTCAGTACTTGTGTCAGCAGAGAATGCACTTTCTGTTCTCTTTCCTGTGAGAGGAACACCTGATCCTGAATCGTGTCTATTACTACGCCTAGATGTAGTAGCTTCTGGGAGGGCTGAAGGTGATTCTTCTCCAGGTTGATCACAAAGCCGTGAGCTCTCAGGGTCTCCACTGCGATCCATGAAGACTGAACGCTCTCCTGAAATGACAGGGCTTTTATAAGGACGTCGTCTAGTTACGGAAAGAGCTGTATTCCTTTCAGCCTGAGGTGAGCTACTAGGGTCACCAGAACCTTCGTGAGGACCCTCGGAGAGGACTTCAACCTGAAGGGAAGTGCCCTGAATTGGAAGTGTTGGGTGGTGTAGACAAATCTTAGAAACTTTCTGTGTGAGCTGTGGATGGGGATATGCAGATAGGCTTCCGACAAGTTTATCGAGGTCATAAAGTCCCCCTCCTGAATGGCACCCAGGATGGACTTGAGGGTCTCCATCCGAAACTTTCGGTCCCGTATGTGTTTGTTGAGCCATTTGAGATCTAAAATGGCTCGAGTGTCCCCATTTTTCTTGGGTACTACAAAGAATACCGAGTAGATGCCCTGCCCCCTCTGAGAGGGTGGAACTCTTTCTATGGCTTTGATTTCTAGAAGATGTTGTATGGCCTTTTTGGTCTGGAGGTGTTTCATCCTGTTGCGGTTCTTTGTTATCTGAACAAAATGCTGTTGGGGAAAGGTGGAGAACTCCAGTTTGTATCCATGGGTTGCAGTGTCGAGGACCCACTGATCCGTCACGGAGCTGTGCCAGCAATTTGCGAAGGCCTGGAGTTTTCCCCCTATCCTCAACTGCTCCACTGGTGCTGCATAGTCATGCCGAGGTCCCTTCCTTTGGGTTCTTGTTAGAGGGTTGGTTACCTTTCCCGGAGGAGAAGGGTTTATTCCCCTGTTGTCTGGGCTGCCACTTTCCCCTGAAAGACTTAGAATAGGAGGGCTTTTGTCCCTTCTTCTGCTCTAGAAATGGCTGGAAGCGTTTCCTAGATTTGAAGTCTCGCTTCTTAGAGTGTAGGACTTTTTTCTTGTCCCTATCATCCACTAAGTACTTTTCCAGACCTTCTCCAAACAGATTACCACCCTTGAATGGTACGGCCGCCACCTTTGCCTGTGCCGAGGAATCTACGTCCCAATGGTGAAGCCAGTTATTTCTCCTCGCAGTAACGCTGCACGCCAAAGCTCTAGCGGACAACTGCAGTGCGTCCAAATGGCATCTACCACAAAAGCCACTGCAAGGGCAATCTTTCTTAGTTCGTCTTTGAACTCCTTAGGTATATCGCTATTTGCCGTGGGTAGGTTCTGAGCCCAGTCGTATGCTGCCCTGGCGACTAAAGATCCTGCCGTGGAAGCCTTGATTGAGGAGGAGGAAGCCTCAAAGTTCTTACGCAATCCTCCTATCTGTGTGCTCCTTAGGCATGCCGTCTGCATCCATTGGCAGCACTGAAGTACAGGTTGGTAACTGGCTCATCTACTACTGGAAGATTCAATTTCCTGGTAGCTTCGGGCATCAGTGAGTAGATCTTTGAAAAAAGGTGATTGTTAGCCTTAGGTTTGGCAGGCTGCTCCCACTCCGTCTTCATAATGTTGAAGAAGGAGGCCAGGAGCGGTAGCCCTGGTTGAGAGACTGATACTTTAGGCATTAGTTTACCTGTGCCTTTTTGGAATTCTGACTCTTGATCAGTCTCCTCCTTAGGCTTAGAGGAAAGGTCTAGGGTTCTTAGCACCTTGGGTAGAAGGCAATGATATAATTCCTGGGGGAAAAGCCTAGACTGGATGGGGACTATTTCCTCCTCTTCCTCTGATAATTTCACTTCTTCTTTCTCAGAAGAACTAGAGGAATCTGACCCAGGCTCTCTATTCCCCAACAGTGAGCTGTTATCCCTAACAGTCTTTTTGGGTTTCTTCTGTTTAGGTCTTGGGGGGGATTTAGAGGTACTGGAAGAATCCTCCTCCTGGCTACGCCTGGTCCTTTTAGAAGTCCTGCCCCTTTCGATGGGTAGTTGGCTAAGGGTTGAGTTTTGAAATGTTTCTGCAAGCATTCCTTTAAACTCCTTCCTCATTTCGGTTCTAAACCAGCTCATAAGTTCCTCTCTGTCTTGATGTTCTGCAGGTATCGGAGATGCTAGGGAGACTGACATTCTAGGCACATTTTCCCCCAGTGGACTATCTTTATCCTAGGAACGACCCAGGGTGGCCTTTTCAGCCATGCTCCTCAACCTGCAATGAGGAGAGTGAACAAAAAACACCCCATCAGGGAGGCCGGAGGGTCTGCAGATGAGTGCCCCCCCCTCCTGTCTGCCTGGAGCCAGTCTCTTCCCCCTATCCTCAATCTCTATAAGATTGAGGCATTGCATCGAATCTCCCTGCCTCGCTTGAAGGTTGGTAACCCCCCTGTAGGCGAGCTCCCAATTAAGTGCCTGTCTGAGCCCACTCTATTTGACTGAAGGGGCTTAGGAGTGCTCAAGATAGTCTGGCCGAACCCCCCCCCTTTTGTTGGCACCGAAAGTGAAACTAAGGTGGGCTCCACCACCTTTCTGCCTTGTTCCTGGGGTGGGTGGGTTTGAATTTCCTCCCGGAATGACTCCCTTCCTCTGTTATTCTTCCGAGTGAAGGACTGGGCGAGGGGTTCAGCCTAAACAATCCCCCACCCTTTCTCTCTATACTGCAGGGGCAAGGATCGCAGGCGGCAAGTGGACTACCACTATTCTCCCTTCCCGAAGTGGCTACTTGGGAGTAAGGAGACCCTAGAGGGAGGATCGGGCTTACCGCGGCTCAGAAGGTAGCTTGGTAGCTCTCTGGTCACTCGCTGTGTCCCGCGGTCTCCCGTGATGGGGGTGGGGGAGCTGAGACCCAGTCTCCCGTCCCTTCCGCGTTCATCCAACTGCTCTGCACTCCCACTGCCTCCTCGGGAGTAGGCCCTTGGTCCGGGGGCAGGTAAGGCCAGCAGGAGTCATTGGTAGCTCGCTCTCAGGCCTCCACAGTCAGTAGCTGCTGACTGGCCTTTTTTCCGAGCTTCTTCTTTCTTCTTGTTTTCCTTTCGTTTCTCTTCTGGTTTCCTTGTCTGGCTGCGCTGTGCAGCGCTGCTCAGGCATGTTCTGCTGCAAACTGAAAGCAGGGCCGGCTAGAACTGGGGAAGCCTCCGGAGGATAAGCCCCTCCCTGCCTGGATCAAAGCTCAGAGCCGACCCTGTGAAGGAGGGAGGAGCTTATCCCACTTGTAAGAGGACTGTCCCACGAAGAACCTCTGGACAAAAGTTAACTGAGGCAAGCGAAGAGTGAGGCAAGCGAGGTGTGAACGCAAGGGCAGTTGAAGAAGAACTGAGTGGAAGGCGGCCCTCTCCCCCGCTCCAGGCATGCACAGTGCATGCCTGCTCCCCAGAGATTCTGAGGCAAGCTCTGGAAGTTTCTCTGGTGAGGTCATGCACAGGCGCCCAACCCATGCGTGGGACTGCACAGAGACCACGACGAAGATCACAAAAGCATTTACTCACAGAAGAGCAAGCACATGAAAAGTAAACTCATCTCAGCTTTCCATAAAATATCAATATCCTCCAGTCATTCACCTGGTATTCTGCAGCTATTTCCCCACTTATACATACCTGATCTTCATTTTCTATCTTGTCACTCACATCCTTTTTGCCTTCTCCTTCTCCGATGCCACCATCTTCATAGTCATGGAACTCTGTTGCTCCCTCTCCTGCTTCCTCTTCCATGAGTTCTTTTGGCAAACAAAACCCCTAATACAAAAAAACAAAAACTCTCTGAAGCAGATGGCAGCATTCTAGTTAAAATGATATGCCTTTACAGGATTCGATTATTATTCTAAGAACTGGCTGAGGTGCTGGCAGGCCCCTAACCAGAAAATGTTTATGGGTGGTGTATGAGTACAGTGGTGGTGAGCATATCATTATTTACTTTGTTATGAATGAGCTATGATGTAGTGCAAATACTCTACAAGGGATCATTCTATAAAAACATAAGAACATAAGAACATAAGAGATGCCAATGTTGGATCAGGCCAAAGGCCCATCCAGTCCAACACTCTGTATCACACAGTGGCCAGAGATACCAGTGCCATCAGGAGGTCCACCAGTGGGGCCAGGACATTAGAAGCCCTCCCACTGTTGACCCCCTCCCAAGCACCAAGCAGACAGAGCATCACTTGCCCCAGAGTCCCTATCTATACCTTGTGGCTAATAGCCACTGATGGACCTCTGCTCCATATGCTTATCTAATTCCCTTTTGAAGCCGTCCATGCTTGTAGCTGCCACCACTTCCTGTGGCAGTGAATTCCAAGTGTTAATCACTCTTTGGGTGAAGAAGTACTTCCTCTTATCCATTACAAGCATGGACGGCTTCAAAAGGGAATTAGATAAGCATATGGAGCAGAGGTCCATCAGTGGCTATTAGCCTCAAGGTATAGATAGGGACTCTGGGGCAAGTGATGCTCTGTCATCTTGGTGCTTGGGGGGGGGGTCAACAGTGGGAGGGCTTCTAATGTCCTGGCCCCACTGGTGGACCTCCTGATGGCACTGGTATTTCTGGCCACTGTGGGATACAGAGTGTTGGACTGGATGGGCCTTTGGCCTGATCCAACATTGGCATCTCTTATGTTCTTATGTTCTTAACGTGTATTTATATTTAGGATTTTTGGCTCCAATGTGCATCACCTTGCACTTGGCCACATTGAACCCCATTTGCCATGTTGGCGCCCACTCGCCCATCCTTGACAGATCCCTTTGGAGTGACTCACAATCCTCACTGGTTTTCACCACCCTGAACAACTTCGTAAAAGTGTCTGTTTTTTCCTTTGAGAATGAAAGGAAGCTTTGCTAACAGAGATCATAGGAGAAGCTGAGTTTTCTTGGATGAATGGTCCCTTTGATTCACAACACCATTTTCCATTGAACTCCCCCCCCCCCAAGCCTATATCACTGCTCTGGTTTGGTTCCACATAACTTGGTATAGGAGGACTTAAGAATAGCTATAGGCTCTCAAGCTAGAATGCAATACGGTTGCCAACCTCCAGGTGGGCCCAGAGTTCTCAGTGAATTAAAATAGATCACAAGACTAGAAATCACTTCCTTTGGAGAAAATGGCTACTTCAGTGGATAAACTCTATGGTATTATACCTGATTAATGTCCCTCCCCTACCTTCATCCCCCAGATCTATATCTTGCAGCTGAGTTGAAACTTGAAACAAAGATTCTATCCCCGAAGAGCAAACTTCAAAGCTTTTCCTGTCCTTATTTTTATGTAATGACTCCTGATTCTAAGCCCACCAGAATAAATGTGGGATGCAGAATGAGTTATGGGGCTTAAAAAAAAAAAGTTAAAATCAGACTTCTGACATTCTGGAAATTGCACTTATTCCATCCTAGGAAGTCACATTCTAACTTAGGTTACATCAACATCACCATCACCATCACCATCATCACAGAAGTAATAACTCCCATGCCCAAGTTCATTAAATGAGTAAATATAGACAATGGTGAAATTGTGGGCTTTTATGTGCTTTTTATAATTGTTTTGTATTGCTGTAAGCCGTCTTGAGTTCCACAAGGTAGAAAGGTGGCTAATAAATGTTTTTAATAAATGAAAAAAATAAATAGCACCAACACTGGAATTCATTCAATTTCTACTAACATTTTCTAAAAGGTTCCAAATATCTGAGATAGTAATACTTCCTTACCTTCTGGGCAAGTTCAGTAAATATGTTAGCTAAGACAGAAAGCAATTTTCCAGTACTCCTATGGGTGGCCAAGGAAACCGTGAGGTAGAAGAGGATAATATTGGAATACTTGTAGAGTACTGGCATTAGACGTACCAGTAAATGGCAAGATTGATTAAAAAGCTGCATAAAATAAACAAAAGTATATTAAAATGGGGATAACCTCCCAACTGTTATGTTCCTATAAGCTTATACCAGACTAATTTTTTTCAAAAGTGTCTCAGAAACACTGCAATTTTGAAGCAAAATGAATGGAAAACAGCACAAAGTCTACAAAGTTATGTTTGGAGTCTCTTCCCACTAAATTAAGCTGTCATAATAGCTAAAAAGTTGAAATGGATGCATTTTTACCTTGCATTTATAGGCTGTGTAATCTTCTCCATAGGATTTCAGTTGCTCCAGAAGTTCAGAAATGGCTGAAATTATTTTCTGTGCTTGCAAAGAACACACATCAGAACAGATATCTTCATCCAAGAGCTTAGTCAAAAGTCCTGACTTAAGTCTGTCAGCTGATGGCACTCCTTAGGTAGAAAGTAACGAAAACTAAAATGATCAGTGTCATGTTTCAAATGGGCTTTAGGCAACCCACTAATCCCTATCTACCCAAGCCAAGCCGACTGTGTTAAGTTACAGACAGGAAAAATGCTTCGAAGTATAAAGTACTTGCACAGCTCAACTGGGGCACTGGGGGAACCCTTACCATCCTCCAGAGAGGTTTCTTTCTCTCCTTTTTCTTTTCTTCTTTCTACTAAACACTGTATAGCACTCAATATAGCATGGATTGCAAGTTCTACTTGTTCAGAAAAGTGCTCTACAAAACCATCATCTGAATCTTGATCCCCTTTGGAAATACAGCAGAAATGTTAGTTAGAATACAGTTTAAAAATTCCACTACGGCCAATATATGATTGCGACACAGAGAAATCAATGTTCTAGTTACAGCTGCATATGAAACTTAAGTTTTAAGCAATGTAATAATCAAGACTGGCAACTGGAATGAGTTAAAAATGGGCCAGCTGAGTGGCTCTCAAACTTAATACCTTCCCTGCTGCACTTAAAAAGATTTTCTTGGTCAGCTCCCACATAATTTATGCAGCGTTCTCTTAATCAATTCAGGACAGCACAATTTATAGTGCTTTTGAACACCACCCTCTCATTTGATCTGTTCATCAGGGCTCAAGAATGTCCATCTCAGCTCAGTGGGATTTAGTGCATAACATACTTATGATCACAGGATCATAAAGAAATTTTATTGTACACCGCCACAAATGCTAATATCCACTCGTGGCCACAAAGTAACATATAAATTTATAAATATAACTGATTACGAGAGGAAAAAGATTTTTGTTACCATCACAATGTGAAATGGAACTGAACAGTTGTGCCTTCCAAATAGCAAAGTCATCTACACTTCTATTAATTTCTCCTTGGATGTATACAAGGCTTCTGATTAGTGCAGTTTGGCAGCCTTCCATCTCTGGTAAAACAAACAAGGATTCTATATCTTGCAGCTGAGTTGAAACTTGAAACAAAGATTCTATCCCCGAAGAGCACACTTCAAAGCTTTTCCTGTCGTAAGAGGGAAAAATGCACTGCATTTCAAGAACTGTGTTTTTTGGTCTTTATTTTTTTATTGCTTTCCTACAAATTGTGTTTTAATCTGAACATTTCTTTGTTAAAGAAAAAAACCCAGGTCTTTAAATTAACAAAATGCAATACTTTTACACTTACTGAGAATCTGATGCCAGACAAAACTGGCTGTCTTATAGCACAAAACAGTTCAAAGTTTATTCATAACAAATCTTGCTCCTATAAACAGGACCCTTTCTCCATTCGCCCTAAAACATCTGAAAAGCTGATGCTGTGTGTTGGAGAAGCATTATGATTTGGCATAGGAGTTGCACGGAGCAGGAAATCAGTCAAAACCACTCTCAGCTTCTTCTGCCTTCTAGTGGAAGAAGCACATCAGACCAAGTTTTCCAGTAAAACAAGAGGGGAGATTTCTCTCAATCCCCATCTCCTCATCTCAAAGCACTTCCCTGGGTCTCACAGCATTTTGTCCACAAGACTTCCCTGACATCCAGCATCAGCTTTTGGGACCACTAAAAGGGTACCAGACCTTGCGGTTGGATGTATTTCTTTTAGATCATTTATATGCTGCCTCACCATAGAATCTGATCAAGGCAGCTTACAAAGTAAAAGCACTACTGAATTTGACATGAAACAGCACAAAACACTGAGCAGCTTAAAATGAGCCTCATAAAACAGTTCTCGGGCTACACCCAGAGTGCAGAAATGATGTTAACAGACTGACCCCTTACTGAAAAGCTTGTGTAAAAAATGCTTTGGCATGGCACATAAAAGTAAGCAGGGTAGATGTCAAGTGAACATCAAGGGGGAGGGCATTCCACAAGTGACGTGTCACCACTGAAAAAGTCCTATCCTTCAAGGGGCATAGAGAGCAAGATAGTTCCTAGCTGAAAGCTGGAGAGTATGGGATAAGGAGGGCCTTCAGGTACTTTGGCCTCAAGCCATTTAGGGGGTTAAAGAACCAGTACTTTGCATTGTGCCCCAAAACAGATGGATATTCAGTGTACACACCTGTTGTTGTTGTTTTTTTTGGGGGGGCAGCAACCAACCAAACCTGCTAGATTAACCAGATGTGGTACATGGGCAAATAAGGCCCAAAAAACCTCTATGGGGGAAAAAATCACTAGTCCCACATAGACCCCTCTGGTTTTTCCAATGGAAAAATTGGGAGCTCATGGAAAGCACTAAAAAGACTCCTATGAAGGTTTTTGTTTGTTTAAAAACATTTCTTAAAAATGTTTTGGGGTTTCCCTAAGTTTGCTGACTCTACCTCATCTATACATGGCCCCATTGTGTGGAGCTGTGCATTCCAGAACCATGTGCATGATTAGATGTACAGATAATTCTACTAAACAGCATACTTTCAAGGTTCAGTGTCTTCAATATTATAAATATGAACAGGATGTCCAAATATTCTCATAGTTCTTTGTGATTGCTCTGTCCAAATACTATATTTTCTGTTTACTGCTAATCTTATATTCTAATAGCAAAGTTGGCCAATCTTTGGATACTTAAATCAAATCAGGTGACTGGAACTGTGAATGGGCAAGACAGATCTTTGTACAAATGTGAAAAGGGCTCAAGGTTTGCAGAAAAATGTGAAATCTAAATAAAATACATTGGGGGCATTTAAAAAATCCAAAAATTATAAAAGGAGTGCCTATAATTTTAAGCAGTAGATTCCCTCAGTGGCTGTTGGTAGCAATCACAGTTTTCTGGGCTGGGTTCTGTCAGTAAAAGGCAGGGGGAGGGGACAGGACCCTTTCCAGGCCTATTTTGGCCTTTGAGAGGGGACTCATTAGGGGCCAGGACTGACTTGATGTGCCTTAATGTTTGGGTTGTCAGCTTTCACAGGACTAATCACTGAGTACTTAATCCAGGTCTCCAGTTTGCCCGTATCAACACTGACCCATCCTTTCAGCCTGTGCATATAGGTGCAAATCTTGTAAATTAAAATAAATGTAACAGAAAAATAACAAAATTTATCTTTCAGTGCTATAAACTGAATAGGCTTCACAGCTCTGCTGCGAATCTTACTTACCAGGAATGGAAAAGAGTCTCACAAGATAGCTGTCTTATTTTGTCCACATCTGCTTTTATTGCCTTAACTTCCACTAGCATATCCTTCACCCTGGAAGCCAACTGTCGCCACAGTGGATCCTGTTTTTGCATCTTGCACCCAGAGGGCAGCTGATCTGAGGTCACTGGAGTGAGATACTGTAGGTCTGAAGGGATATGTTCAAATGTTGACACTGGATCTTTTGTTGGGTTCAGTTCACTTTTTTCACATTTGAGATTGGCTGACTCCGTGTCTGTCCTGGGAGCATTAACAAATTGGCCTTTTGGACAACACTCTATAAGCCAAGACAGCTGCTTGAGGACCATCACAACCTGCATGGTGAGGAACTGTAACCTGTCAGTCCACTGCTGAACACCATCTTGAGGAGGAAATGCTACATCATATTCATTACTGATGGTCAGTTTAGCATCTATCTCCTGTACACAGCTCAGAAGATTCCTGTTTATGAGATTCAAAGAGAAGATATTTGTTGATATTCAACATTATTGATACAGTTCAGACCACCTATAGCCACCCAAATCAAGAAGCTTTTCTGAATCCTTGAGAACAGAGAATACATGTTAAAAATATCAAATTCATACTGATACACTGAATATACTGATCAGTAATACAGATATATTGAGCTGTACACACATTACTTCAAAAAGCATTAAGAAGACAAGATATGCTGTATATATTAAATTATTATAAAACACAAGCACACAGCAGAACTATAGTAAAGTCACTTTGTTGTAGAGAGGGCAGAATAAAATGAGATAATTCAAAGGATTTCATAGCGAAACATTTTCTCAAGTCAACAATTAAGCTTTCCCAATAAATTACAGGCAATCACAGATTGCCCTACTGGGATAGTCCAGGCTAGCCTGATTTTATCAGATCTCAAAAGCTAAAAAGGGTTGGCCTCGGTTAGTATTTGCATGGGAGACCACCAAGGAAGTCCAGGGTTGCTGCGTACAGGCAAGCAATGGCAAACCCCCTCTAAATGTCTCTTGCCTTGAAAACCCTATGGGGTCACCATAAATTGGCTGTCACTTGACAGCAAAAACAAACAAATAAATAAATCACAGATTTGTGGACATCTGTAGTTTTGGGATAGGCTATCTTCAATATGTTTATGATACCCAGCTCCTTACCCAAACCTCCTAGTGATGTGGTACAGGTCCTGAATCACTGCCTGGCTGCTGTCATTAAATGGCTAAGAATAAACAAACTGAAGCTAAATCCTGACAAGACAGAGATATTGCCGGTTGGGAAGGTGGAGATCTTGAAGGATACTGTGCTCCCCACTTTTGATGGAGTTCAGCTGACCTTACTGACTCAGTTATGAGGCTAGGCGTTAAACTGGATCCAACATTACTGTTGGAGAAGCAAGTTTATGCAGCTACAAAAAATACTTTCTACCAATTCAGTCTAGCCTGGAATATGGCCCCTAAATGGCCAATCTAGTCAGCTGGATTTACACCACGGTAGAGATGTGAAGGCCCGGGGAAAAACCGGAAAAATTCGGGAAAAAACAGTTTTTTCCCCGTTTTTTTCCCTGAAGATTTTTTGGTTTTTTCCCCGAAAAATTGAAAAAAGAAAAGAAAAAATGATTATGGAACGTTTTATTTTAACATGATGAATAAAATATTTTAAGACAAGGTGTTCAAATATTTTCCAAAACCAAACAAAGGTTAGTGGAAAGGAGGGCCAATATTAAAACCTTTTCATAAAAAGAGGTACATGTATTTATTAATAATAACAAATTAAAACATATATAGGGGCCCAGTTACAACCAATATATATAAAACATAACCATAACCAGGGCTAAAAAAGTTTTATATATATTGGTTGTAATTGGGCCCCTATATATGTTTTATATACCTCTTTTTATGAAAAGGTTTTAATATTGGCCCTCCTTTCCACTAACCTTTGTTTGGTTTTGGAGTTCTTTGTTAGGTTTAGTTTTTTTGTTCCTGCTTCCAAATATTTTCCAAATCATTTCTAAAATATATATATATGGTATCAGATTGATATAATTTCTGTGCACTGAGGACAAGCCAGTCCTAGGTTACAAACTGAACTCTCCAATGCAAGATGCATTTCTTCCTTTAGGAGGTGCTATTGTCAGAAGAAAATAAAAAGGTTTCAGTTTTGTTTTTGCATGTGGGTGGGTATTCTGTTTGTAATAATTGTTTGGATACACTATATTTTTAATATGCTAGTTGTGATAATTTCATGCCAAGTAAAAATGTCCATAGTCATATTTTATGTTCCTAAAGTAACAGAATGACTTTCAATCTAGAAAAGACAAAAGAAATGCTAATGTAGCATTTTTTTCAATTTTTCCGAAAATTTCCGTTTCCCCCCGGAAATTTTACATCTCTACACCACGGTAACATCAAGACTAGACTAATGTAACATATTCTACATAGGTCTCCACTCAAAGTCAACTAAGAAACCAGTTGGTGCTGAATGCCTCAGTTTGGTGTAGTGGTTAAGTGCGTGGACTCTAATCTGGGAGAACTGGATTTGATTCCCCACTCCTCCACTTGCACCTGCTGGATGACCTTGGGCAAGCCATAGTTCTGGCACAACTGTTCTTGAAAAAGAGCAGTTTCTGTCAGAGCTCTCTCAGCCCCACCTAGCTCACAGGGTGTCTGTTGTGGGGAGGGACAGGAGTTTGTAAGCCGCTCTGAGACTCCCTTGGGTAGTGAAGGGCGGGGTATAAATTTGATCTCTTTTTCCTCTTCTATTATCAGGAGCTAAGTGGAGCATGCATATCTCTTCCATTCTACAGTCACTCCACTGGTTGCCTATCAGTTACTGGGCTCAATTCAAGGTACTGGCTATCACAAACAAAACCCTTCATGATCTTCGACCCTCAGGTTTTTAGCACTGCCCCTCCCCCTATGCTCCACCACAACAGGCAGAAGCACTGCTCAGTAGTAGACCACCTCCTTTGCATGCAGAAGGTTCCAAATTCAATCTCCAGTTAAAAGGAGCAGGCTGTAGGTGATGTGAAGACCAAAGAGAACCCCTGCCAGTCTAAGTAGACAGAGTTGTCCTCGATAGGCCAATAGTCTGACTCAGTATAAAAGCAGCTTCATGTGTGCTCAAAGGCAGATTCAAATTCCAGGATCAACATAGGGGGAGCTTTCAGACACAGAGCATAACTCCAGCGCCTCACCCATCCCCAATGCATGCACAGGGTTTTCGGATTGTTACCCAACACCAAAAATTGAATAACATTGCATCTCTGTAACTTGTGCTGCTCTAAACTACTGATGTTAATTACTTTTAAGTTTTTTAATTAACTTTAGTAGTTTGCAACCAATGTCTTCCATTTTCATTCTGAACCTTGTTTTTTAAATGAACTAGCACACAGAAAACAGATGGTCAAGTACCTCAAGATAATCCACTGCTCTGTCAAGCCAGTGAGAGCACTCCTCTGTTTCACAAGCATCTTCATTAGGTGTGCAGGGAATCCTTTGCATCTTTCAATCGTACCAAGCCCGATTTCCTGCAGTGACAATGTAGGAGGTGTTTAGTTTTGTGTATTTTTAAAAATAACATGGCTGTTTACAGCTGTTAGCAAAGAAGATGAAACTTTCCCCCCCTTTATGCTAGTTCCATCATTTTTAGATTATTTTTATTTTTAATTGGTTTTCCTGGTGGAAGTAGTTTGTATTTGTATATATTGAGATGTTGGTTGACTTGAAACATTGAGCTCACAGTGAGGGTTTCTTTGCATCAGTGGACTGGATGAGAAAAACAGTTAATATCCCAACAACTCTGATTGTGGTTTTGAGTACACAATGTCAGGTTCTCCCTCAGTGGAGCACAGGCACTCACAGCACTTTCCCAGGGCTTCAGAAGAGCACTTACAAAGACTGAACTGTCCAGACACTTATCATAATTAAGTTGAATGCTAACTTTCTGGCTGATCTACAGATGGTTCTAATTTTTTAAAACTGATTTAACATGTTGTGTCGTATTTCTAGCTTCACTGAAGGTGGTTTACAATAAAAGAAAGCAAAAGCAAAAGGCCGACACAGATCTAATTGAAACAATCACATCAATATTATCAATAATCAACCACAAGAAACATCAACCACTCTTTCAAAAATCAAACAGGGACTTCCAACAGTCATACAATTCAATGGCTTATCAAGCAACTGGAAGACACGAAGTGAATTTGGCAACTGTGAATACTTTGCAAATAAACAGTATATAGATTGTGACAGTGGCAGACTTGGCTGGTAGTTTCACCTTTGTTCACTTACAATACACACAATGTGAGAAACTACAAAAATGCCTGAGAAAAGTACATGGGCTTGAAATACTTCGTCAAATAGGCTGCAACAAATGATCCTGGTTTGCCCATTCAAAATAAAAGGTTAAACAAAGTATCTATTCTTGTATGAAGTTACTGATTTACCTTTGAAGGTGCCTGTAATGCTGTCTGAAGCCTACAGTGGCGTGCAAGAGACTGATAGAAGTACTTCTGGCATCCATCCCAGGATGAAGAGATCTCAGAAAGCAACCTGAAAAGTATAGTATATGAGATTTCCCCTCTCTGAAGAGAACAGTATGCAACTTCAAGTCTCTCAAGGAAAAAAAAAGCAACTTCAAGACTTCAGTCAAACTTTAATAAATATTTCTATGCCACTCTTCCATTCTACAGAAGGCATGACAGTGCACAAACTCTTGAAGTTCAGTTCAGCTGTTGTTTCTGCAGTCCTAGCTAATGCTGTATTATATATTTAAAACTTAATTTAATAATGTTGTGAACTTATGACTTCACTGTGTTGGTTCCAAAAATGCTATATAGTCAGAAGCCAACATGCAACCCCATCTAACCTGGGAAGGTGCTGGAAGAGCCCACAGGCCATTCAGAAGCCGGGAAAACCCCCAGTAAAAATACTATTATAAAGCTATTATCGCCATAGATTCTCAGCATACATCAATCTTCCTAGTATTATCTAATGTAGCTAAAACATTTCCAGGCAGAGCATTCATATGCTCCAAAGGTGAATTTCTACACTGTTACATGGAGATGATGTGACAATTATTTCATTAACAAGGGTGGGACTAAAGAGAGCTTTGTGAGCATTATTTAGGTACTGTTTTAAAAATGAAATGTCTATAAGGCAGAAATAGATATCGGAGCAGTAATAAAATTCTTTTTTATGACAGGAGTGCAGAATATTCCAGTTAATCATTTCTAAGATTACAAATCAGCTTTTATATGCAGCTCTGGTTTGGGTATAAGCTGTTACTCCTTCTATCAAACTGATTCAATTCAAATTCTTGAGCATAATTCTTAAACGTGCCTAGGTGTGCACCCTCTATGGTCCTCTGATTAGAAACTGGTCTTATATCACTTATAGATTTGGCTTGGCTAGCAACTTTTAGATTTAGAATCCAACTTCTGTTCATTAGTGATTGGAACAATTCTCTTTATAGTCTAACTAGGGAGCAAAGCCCATTGTGGATGAAGACAATGGGCCATAGAAAGGTAGGGTGGGTGGGTGGTAGATAGATAGATAGGTAGATGGATAGATAGAGGGGTTTGGAAAAAGAGAGGAAGGAAGGAAGGAAGGAAGGAAGGAAGGAAGGAAGGAAGGAAGGAAGGAAGGAAG